ATTTACCTAGGAAAATCCATAACAGATTTCTTTGAAATCATTAGTAAAATACTAACTAATGTTGATTTAGCGATTTCATCCTTCCTAAAAAGAATCAATTATGTGTTTGATTAATAAATTAAACTGTAATGATGGGTTGACTACTCCCACCTTATGGACTTTAGGATGAAATCCAACTCAAAGTCAAAGCCAAAATCTGTAAGTAAGTATAAGTCTAACACCGACAATTCAAAGGAATTTAATCAATATTTTGTACCTAAAGTTATACTAAACTCACTTGACATACACCTTGTAAAACTTTTATGACTTAAGAGGCTTAAACCAAACCACCCTTATAAGTTATATAAGGGTGGTTTGGTTTAAGCCTCTTAAGTCATAAAAGTTTTACAAGGTGTATGTCAAGTGAGTTTAGTATAACTTTAGGTACAAAATATTGATTAAATTCCTTTGAATTGTCGGTGTTAGACTTATACTTACTTACAGATTTTGGCTTTGACTTTGAGTTGGATTTCATCCTAAAGTCCATAAGGTGGGAGTAGTCAACCCATCATTACAGTTTAATTTAAGCCTCTTAAGTCATAAAAGTTTTACAAGGTGTATGTCAAGTGAGTTTAGTATAACATAATAATAATTGTCAATACTCATTACAACAAATGCTAAAATACTTATATTTCATTAATAATCAGAAATTACATTACAAACTTCTTTCATATTGACGAATACGTACTAGCATTGCTTTGCAAATCACAGAACCTTAACTGAAACTCATGCTTGTGAAGTTTTTCTAAATTAATATTTAGAATTTCTGGAAAAACAAATAAACCGATATAATTTTATTAATTGTCTCACAAGCTTTTCATCTAATTTAGTACAAAACAAAGTAGAGTAATTAATGTAATATTGTAACCTGAATTTATTTCCTCTAAAAACTCATAATGTTATATTAAAAATTTGTAAAATAAATCTTTAAAGAAAAACAAGTCATGATATAAATGCAACGTTTGCAATGCTAGGGACGTGAAAAATTGTTTGTAAGCACAATATAATAATATTAACAATTTCTTATATGTTTACCTATACAGAATCGCTAGAATGTATGGAAACGGTTAAATATCTTGAGAGCCAATTGTACAAATCAACTGAAATTAGGTATAGGAGTACAAGAAGTTGTGCTCTAAGTATTTATCAAAAAAAATGCGCAAAGTATATCGAACTTCTCCCACTTTTGAAATAGCCAATAGCGATTTCTGCAAGTGACGTAAACAAGCTGCTAGTTCATCCCTACGAAAATAGAATACATTCTCTAGAAAAAATTGAACGCATACATAGTTTAACAGCAAATTATGTTAATTTCCATTAAAATTTCAGGAAACTTATATTACATTACTTCTGAGACAAATTGGCGAATTTGTTTGCAAAAACGCTAATTTTTATATGTCTACAAAGTTAAAAATAGGACTGAACTCAAAACCACACCAAAAAAACTGCCACGCTATCTATATTTCAAGTGAGATTTATGTAACAAAACTGTCATCGAATTTTTAGCGAGGACAAACATATTTTTCTACATACGATGTAATACTGGTACTAGAAATAATATAATTTTTGTATTTTCCGCAATGGCCTGACTAAATGATATATATGTACTATTAATTACAGACCGGTTTTCTAATTCATTGTTAGTTTAAACATGATTGAAGAATCGCATCGATTCATTTTACCTTATACTATTGTTACAATTAAATTTTAACATACGGATATTTATTTTGATATGGCGTTTTCAGATTTATGAACCAACGTTCCGCCATCCACCATAACCAAACAGCAGATTTTCGTTTCTTGGTGATGGTGTCATAATGATTTCTAACACCGTTTTTCATGTGGTTTATTGTAAACTTTTAATCAAGCTGTATCTGTTTATACCAAAAAACTGATCATCCCAGCTAAAAATTTGATCGAATAAAGCTAGAATATGCAAAATATGATGGTCTATACTTAAATGAGATGATTAGATGTCACTAATCGCCTCATTATGTGTGATGATTAACTTAATCTCAATTAAAATATTGTATAGACCGACCCTTAATTTTATAATATTTATAAAAAGCTCGATTTCTTGTACTGTCGAAATTCAAGGACGAAGGAAGTTCTATCTAAACATTTTTTTTTTGTATAACGATATAGCTATGTATATAAGTTTACAGACGTAGGGGTATCGTGCGTTCTGTGGAGGTATCGAGGTTAGTCCTCGTCTTGGCTGTTTGAGTCCAGTGTTGTTTTATTCTTGTTGTTTAGGTGTTTGTGTAATCTATTTTAAATATATTATTTACAGCATTTCTTTTTTCTGAAGGAAGTTACTTTGCCTTTGGTTATGGCCGTATCTCTCAATGCCGGACTTCACAGAATGATTACACGGCTCGCTATGCTTATCGCTACGAAATGTTCAGACTATTTCGGTTGTGCTGTTTTATAATTCATATATAACGGCCAGTCTAAGTCTGTTTTGTATAGCATAGTATTCCCTTCTTGACATCACGTTTGTAATCGTGTTATTAACCGATAATTATAATTAAAATGTAAATTATATTTTGACTCAATGTTGTTAAAATTGTTCAAAAAGTTGTTGATATATACGGTGTAGGTATAATTCGTTTTTCATTAAAGTCACCAACGTTCAACTTCTTCGAAAAATACTACCAGCAATACTGCAGTGACTTGATTTGGGGAGTTTTGTGGATTTTTTTGACATAAATAATTTTAGAGGTTATTTTAGGAAAAATAGATGTTTTCAACGGTTTATTTTTGAACAAAAAATATAATTATGTATAATACAAATGATAAAAAATAAAAAGTTATATTATACGTATTGTACTGTAAACTTCTCCCTCTTTCAGGAAGTTCCACAGTGAGTGAGTTTAAGTAATTATAAAGAGACAAAAATACTCGAAACACAAACTAGTTTAAAAGTGGGGTTAATTCCCGAAATGCTAAGAACAAACCAAAAAACAGAACCGTTAACGATAATAAAAACTTACTCAAAATTTACGCACCTTATTTAGTTTTGACGTTTGGCAGAATTTCGGTTAGCACCCCGGAAGATACGATGTCAATTGTACAAATTTTAATAGTTTATTGTAAAATAATTTCACTTTTGAACGATGTGTTAACCACACATAAAAAATTTAAAAACGGATATAAGTAGGTCAACTGTATTATTCAAATCAAAAATCAAATAATTATGAAAGATGAACAGCACACGCTTACGAAATAATAAAATGAACCAAAAACCGGGCGAAAGGTGTCACTAAACTAAAATTTAATAATTTTACCCATTTAATTTTTTTTTTTGACCCAGTCAGAATATATTTGAAAATCTGAAAAATTCACAGCTACCCTAAAATATTAAGAATAGCATTGGTGTGCTGGACCATTTTTAAGATAATCGACTAAATAAATTAATACAATCCTTTTTTAAAAACGTCTTGTATACGCATGTAGTTTTAAAAACGAAAGCACATTATTAACGTAAAATGATTTTTTTTACTTAATGTTTCAACTTCAGGCAAGATGAAAAACTTAAAGTGTAGAGTGAAATTAAAAAATAAACTTTTAAAAGCAAAGCTAATTCTACTTCCTTTTTTACAGTTGGTGATATAAGAACGAATAACGGAGAGTGCGTATAAAAAATAAAATCTCTGAAAAAATTTCTTAAGATATCCAGCAAAAGCAAATACGTATTTTATTAGCCAACTCTTATCAAAGACATTTAAAAATAGCTGTTCTAATAGCAAGACTTTAAGATATATGCGAATACCTTTAAGGCAAATTTATTTTTGATGTTTTTATTCAAGGAAAAACACAAATAAAAAAATAACAGTTTCGAGTAAAAAAATAACCATTGTTGAAAATCAACAATACGACCTTTATCATTTACTTAAAATTTTATTCATCATTTTGATTAATATAAAAACAGTTCTGTATACAGCTCTCAGTACATATCAAATCAAACAAGCGAGTAATAGATATTTAAAATGTTAATGTTTAAACTTGGCGAAAAATCGCATCAGATTCATTCGGGAAAGGATTTGTTCTATAATTAAGGATTACTAAAACATATGTACTTTTAATATACCTATTGCTCAATGCTCATACTGGAAATGTAATTGATATTTAAATACGGATGTATGTATATTTAGCAAAAAACGTGCAATTACAGAAGACAAAAGTGGTACAATTATCCTATATAAATATCAATGTTATGAAGAGTTTATAAAAATATTTCTCTCCAGGGTTGCTAAACCAATGTTTTTTCATGTTTTTTTTTTCAATTTTACTTGTGTTTATAACACACCCCATATTAGTCGAATGAATATTTCACACTCGAATAGTCCCACTGAAGCGACAGCAACATGGTTGCAAATAATTTATGACGGTAATAGTTTTTGAAATTTTCGCTCAGTACACCAATAATTAAAACATCGTGTAAATATTAAAAATTAATTATTCCCTGCCATCATTTATTAGTGAATTCGAACAGAAAACAAGCTGTAATTTTAATTGACTCAATATTATTTGTGACGTGTACCCGATCCCGAATCAAACTGCCACAAATTTGTCCGATTAATTCTGCAATGACGCCGAAAACCCCATTTAAATTGAATCTAAATGACCGGCCACGTCATAGCGTTGATGATGAGGTCGTTCCTTGGCTATCAGGATAAATGCCATCCAAATGCTTTTACTGTGAAATTTTGGGAAGAATCCCGGCGAGTAAATGTCGAAAAAGGGTTTTATTGTCAATTTAGAGGAAGTAATAAAATCTTAAGTATAAAGAGAAAACGTAAAGTAAACAATGTAACAAAACGTCGCAAGTAGCAGAGAAAAACTCTTATGGTGTCGAATTTGAATCCCGATTTAAGAAAATACGCTGTCATATTCAGTTTTTAATGCTCGATGGAATCCGACCGACCAAATGGGCTTTTACTCACAAACTCACTTACCTCGTAACACAGTTAAAAACATTAAAACATGTAAGTGGCGTAATAACAATTTCATCTCAACTTTGAAAATTTTTCAAAAGACTGTTTTTTATTTGAAACTTTTCTGTACTTCGTTTTAATTCACAGTAGCTTATTATGTTATATTAAGGTTTTTTTTAAACGAGTTTTATTTTTAGAGCTTATTACTCTTCGCGCGTAACCACGGGTTTCCGGTGAAGCCCGGAGTTTGAGTTAGCATCCCGGAGCGGAGGCGCAAACTGGCTGATTCTGTATATTTCTGCGGAGCAATATTTGACGCATGTCAACAAGTAGATAACATTTTGTCTTTTGTACTTCTATTTGTATATAATCTGTCATCTGTTTTGACGATTTCCGTGCCGAGTTTAGTAACGAGAAGTAGAAAATAGATGAAATTGCTATTGGAAACGAAATCCGGCTATTATTCTTCTTGGAAGTCGGTTCCATCATTTAAATATTATCAACCATTCCTAAAAATTAATTATCCATATTCGCGAACTTTACCAACTTTTGGCTTCTCACCCTATTCCAGCCGCCTTGAGGTGCCTTCGTTATTATCTGACCACATTTAGAAACTTGAATCGAAGTTTTATTTGAGTAATTGTTTTTATAGCTAATGACTTTGCAATGCAAATAGGTTATTAATACATTCGAGAAAGTTATGAACTTATCAGTGGAAGAAATTTTAGCAGAGAGGGTTAAAATTTACATTTTTATGTTTTTAAAGTTATCGCATTTAGCAGCTGTTTAAACATATGATAAATTTAAGTAAGCTCCAATAATTCCTTTTGATCACCGAATATATCTGTTCCCTCTCTGAAAACGTAGCTGTCCTTTATTGAGGAGCCATCCTTTAAATTTACTGGTTCAAATCCAGATGTATCGACCAATTGTCACACGGATTTTCCAGCCTAACAGTTTCCACGTTGAAAGCAAGTCGACAAATGTTCAAGGTTCACAGACTTAATTAAGATAGTTCTCTTCCTTTTATTTACAATTTATTCTTTTTGCTGGTTTTAACATAATATTAGTCATACTTCCACAATTTTGTATTGTTGTTGCAGTTAACACAAATAATATTCGACAATGAATTGAAAAATAATTCATACCAAGAGAATGTTGTTTTACAGTACTGGTTTATTATTTACATATTTTTTTCAATTTACTCGTAAAATAACAACGCACTTTTTCGAAATCTAAACGAGTGAGTGATCAAATAATACAAACGGGCAGTTCAGCGAGACGGTTTTTAATATTATGTTTTTTATTATTATTCTTCATTTTCCTGGTTTTATTGAATTACATTAAGTATCCAGTAAGAAGTAAGGTGTAAAGTAGTTAAAAGGTCAAGTGTGTTAAGAATTTATTATCAATCTGTAATACTAACTAGTAATTAATTGTCCGCCGCATTGGGTTTTATCTCGGCTTTTACAAAGTGATCGACAGTTTTTTTCTAGTCGAGGAGAACCACTGGCGTTTTTCTGTGCCCTCTTGTATCGTCATGTCAGTCACCTTGATCGGTCCCTAGGTGCCAACTATCCCTATCTTTTTGTGTTTTACAATTTATACAAGGATGCATCTATACGAATATCACAAACGCTGACCTACTGTATGAAATACAATAATTAAATAAAGGTTTAAATAATAAAAACGAACAAATAGAACAAAATGTCTTATCTAAACTAACCCAACAGCTACTAAAAGTGTGAGATATTTAGTGTGAAACTAATAGTTGAATTATTAGGATGTTTCCAACGTTATGAGAAAGAGAATTATATATTTTTACATCTTAAAAAATAAAGCTCCATTGATCATTTAAGTAGAAGATGTTCATTATGCTATTCCTAAAGTTGAAGAACTTTTAGCAGCTTTGCTAGGGGGGCAGTATTTTAGTAAATTAGATTTCAGTCGAGCTTATTTTTGTTATTTGCAAGGTTAAACTGTGCAGAGGACAATGTCATGTTATGCCCAAGGAACAGGAGGACGACTAAAAGGGACACGGGTAATACGGCGTTGTATAGATTCTATCGCCTGTTTATCTCTTACTAGGACAGGGTGCCAAACAGCATTGCCAAACTCGAGCAAGGATCTCACATAGGACTTATGCAATATTGCTATTGTTGCAGCGGAAGCGTTAGGGAATGTCTTTTTTATTAGATACACTACAGTGTTGACAATTAGTGGCACTGTCCAGAAAAAATGATTTTAAGTTAAATATAAAATGTTATACATGCCACTGGTAGTGTTTTTGACCTACCATAACTACTATTCAACTAGGATTAGGATTAAGAACCAAAAAAGCTGCGCACTGGTTGCCGTCGTGTGCTCATTTAATGTCTTTGTAGAATTTTGAAGATTTTCGTCATTGAGTATAAGAATAAAGGAAAATAACACATTACGGTAGTGAAATAATTTAATTTATAACGTCAAAATAATACAAAATTTATAAAACAAAATAACAATATTTATGTACAAACAAAATGAATATATCAAATATCTAGTCTAAAACAAATGTAAAACATGCAATAGGTCACTCCTGTGGTCGATGCCTCCCCTTTGGTGTCTGTCTGAGCCTCAAATTTCCAGAAATAATTCCTGGAAGGTGCGTCCTTCCGACTCCTCTGATTGTCATTATTTTCGTCAAATCCTCGGGCTTCTCGAAACTTTTGACGAAATTCCTGTATTCTCTACAGGTGGACTCGAGTTCCTCTTGTGGGACAGTCTCCACAGTGCGGGTTGGCGATGAACTTCTTTGTAGAGCCATGGCTTGGAAATTTCTGAAAAAAAAAACAAGAATTAGAAACAGTTTCTATAAATAAATAAAAATACTTACAGTTTTCTGGTCATGAAAGTGTCTGGTATGTTAGCGCTGTGAGGTCAACATTAAGACTAAACATCGTGGGTTTGTTTCATCCCTATATACAAGTTGTAGCACCCCCACCCTATTCACCCCACCCTGTCACCCTTACTTTCTTCCCACGTTATTCGAGGGTGCGAGGTGGGGTGAATAAGGTGGGGGGAGTTAACATCCTTTAATAAATGAGGTTCAAGGTAATAATTAAATTGAGGATTATTACTACCAAGGCGGAGTATATGACACTTGTCTGTGTTGAGAGGAAAAAGTCATTCGTGCGCCCATTTTAATATAGTTTTAATATCAGCATTTAAAAGATCGCAGTTAACACAGGTATTTAAGATCAACTGCAAATAATGTGAAAGGGCACTTAAGAACTTGGGTAAGATCGGCTGTGTAAATAGTAAAAAGGAACAGAACAGAATCTTGTGGTACTTCATTTAATACTTCTCGTTGAGAACTAAAGGAAATACCAATGTTTACCCTAAAAGTCCTGTAGGATAGAAAACCTTGAATCCACCTTAGTAAAGAACCCCTGATACCAGCACGTTCTAATTTATGCACGAGACGAATGGTTGTCTAACTCTCTGCTCCAATCATTAAGGCTACAAAGGAGGTTGCTAGATACGGATCTTCCAGGAATAAATCCATGCTGTTCAGAAGGAATAACTTTATTGTCCAGTAGGACCTGCATGATACGATCGCTGATGATGGATTCCATCATCTTACCAATTGTGTGTGGTGTTGCGATATCTGGGGGACTATCTAATGGTTCTATCGTGTACTCATTTGCAAACGAGTCAGAGAAAACGTTTGCAATGTCTTAATTCTCTGTGATTAGAGTGCCGGCAGAATTTCAAAGTTGAGGTGTCCTTACGGATCCACCAAGAGTATCTCGAATATATTTGTAACTGCAGCTGCATAATCCATCACGTTACCTGCTCGTTAGTATGTTTTCCACAAGATTTTCTTGCGTCGAACCATCTGTAATATCTGGTGGTTTCTCCATGGTTTTTTGGCAACTCATGTAAATATGATTTGAATACTTCCCAGTGTTCCTCTATGGTGTCGTGCATTAATAATACTTCCCACTTAGTTTCAACCAAATCATTTTCTAACAAAAGATAATTAGTGATCGACCTCGTGAAAGAAATTATCCTAGTTTGAGTATGAAGGCTGACTTGTAAGTTGGCCACAATCATTACACGATCTGATTTACCAATAGGACTAGTAAACTCTAAATTAGAGAGTAGATCTGGGCTGACAGAAATAATAAAATCTAAAACCGAGACCTATTGATTGATTCTATATCCAGTTAGTTTAGAAACTAGTTGACACAAGTAAGAATCGTTTAATAAATCCAATAAGAACTGATAAGAAGGACTCGAAGCTAGCAGCGTTGTTAAAGGCCAACTCAAGTCAGGTATACTAAAATCGCCAAAAATAAGAAGGTCGGTATAATCGTTCGCCAAGTCAGATATTATGTCAAAAAGTTTGGAATCACTATCAAAATCAGTCTATGGAGCCCTGTAAATACAACCCACAGCAAACGTTAAGGAACGGTTAGAAAGCTTTATATCTAAGGACTCGATATACGACGTAGCTGTATTTATGACAGTTATTGTGAAGTTAGACATCACATGGTCAGATACATATATACAAACTCCTCCTCCTCTACTAAATTGCTTATCTTCTCTAAATACTTAGATGATAGCCTGACAAAGATATTAAGGCATCGGATAACTTAGGGTTAAGCCACGTTTCAATAACTAAAATAAATGAAGACTTACTCACTAAAACAAAAGCAGAGAACTCATTAAATTTTAAACATAACGACGCAATGTTGCAGTATACTAGGGGACACAAAAACAGAGAAGCAGATGGCTCAATGACATCCATGAATTTGAAGAGGGAAAGAAAAAAACCTAATAAGTATCTAGATCATTGTTACTTTCCGTACTGCGACTCTGATACCGAGCATAACCCTTTTTAAGTTTCCGCTGTACTTTCAAACAACGATTTCTTATATGTAGTATAAGACAGCGAGAGATAAATTTGATAAACATAGTTGTGTAGTTTATCCAGGAGGCCGATAATGTCGCTAGTGTAGTTCAAAGCAATGTAAAGTGTCCGATTCACCCACGACATCTTCCATAAATAAATGTATTGGTTAGTTTTCACTGCTAGGGATGGAAGGTTCAACCACTGGTGAATCAGCGGAAGGACTTGATCTTTTGTTTGTGGATGCTTCAAGAGAAGGTCTACATTTTTCTTGTACGTGTTCAGTTTCCGTGGTTTCATTTGTCGCCGCATTAGTGTTCCTAATGATAACATCATCTT